CAGTCCCACATTCTTGTTGATAGTCAAAGTATTCTCATCGCTTTGTCTAGTCTGAGTCTTTAAGTGATTGTTACATTCGCAAATGTATTTGTCGTTTATATCTATAGTGTTCTTTTTAGTGTAAACAATTGTTGGCTAGCCTATAATAAATAAATAAATAGTCTGACAATATTTAATTTTTCAAATTCATGATCACTTGGTGATGAGCACATCAGCGCTGGCAATCGACTTGTATAACCAGAGAACTTGCAAGTGCGTTTTGAGGGTTACACATTTGAAAATTGGAGGGCTTTAGGTATTTGGGATTGGGGATGGGGGGAGTTAGGCTTCCAGTGACCTTAGTACATCAAATTCGTTATCACGTGGAATCACAACGCGAAGCGATATTTAAAGCCTGTTATCTTTAAGGCTTGTTATCACTCCAGTTTGGCCGGCACACTAGGAGCCGAATCCAAAAAAGAAGATCTAGAGCATTTAAATCTGTATATCTAACTCGTAGTCAAAGCGTACGTTTACTTTTATCTTGCCATGCAATGCCACCACTACAGATGTGCAATCATCTACCTCGGCCTCCGTCTAGAGCAGGAGAAAGAAACGTTTTCTTCCTTGTTTACGCTGTTTGCTTGTTCCAAAAGTTTCCCTTGGAAAATTTAACAGAAAAACTCTGTCTTCCATATAAAATCGATTGTAAGGATAGACGGACCTAAAAAATTAAACGACGACGATTGAATGATGTAACCAAGAAGGATAGCTACCCGTTACCAAGAATCGATGACACACTTGACACACTGAGTGGCATGAAATGGTTTTCAACGCTCGATCTGAAAAGCGGCTATTGGCAGGTGGATTTGGATCCCAAGGACAAGGAAAAGACCGCATTCTCAACTGGGAAGGGACTCTGGCAATTTAAGGTGATGCCATTTGGATTATGCAATGCACCGGCAACCTTTGAGCGTTTGATGGAACAGGTGCTGGCGGGACTGCTGGGCGAAACCTGCCTAGTTTACCTCGATGACATCATCATTGTTGGACGGGATTTTGACGATCATCTAAGGAAATTGGAAAAGGTACTCGATAAGCTGCGTGGAGCAAATTTAAAGTTGAGTCCAAAGAAATGCTCTTTCTTCAAGCGCGAAGTGAATTATCTAGGACATGTTATTTCTGAGAGAGGAATTGAGACTGATCCAGCCAAGACTGCCGCTGTTAAGGAATGGCCGACACCTAAAGACAAAACGCAAGTTCGGGCATTTCTTGGATTGTGCTCGTATTATCGGCGGTTTGTGAAAGGATTCTCGGACATTGCCAAGCCTTTGCATCGATTGACAGAGGAGAAACGTGCCTTTATCTGGGACGAGGATTGTGAGCAAGCCTTTCGAGAACTAAAAGAACGGCTTTGTAACACACCAATTCTCGGATACCCCAGCGCGACAGGAATATTCGTAGTTGATACGGATGCCAGCAATATTGGAATAGGAGGTGTCCTTTCACAACACGATGGTGAGCAGGAGAAGGTTATTGCTTACTTCAGCAAGTCACTATCCAAGCCGGAGAAGAATTATTGCGTGACCAGGAGGGAATTGCTGGCCGTAGTCAAAACTCTGCACCATTTCAAGAAGTATTTACTGGGACGGAAATTTTTGATCAGAACTGATCACGCTGCTTTGAAATGGCTGCTTCAGTTTAAGGATCCCGAAGGCCAAGTAGCCAGATGGTTGGAACAACTTCAGGAATTTGACTTTGAAATCGAACATCGCGGCGGAAGAATTCATGGCAACGCAGATGCATTATCGAGACGCCCATGCGTGGAAGATTGCAAGCATTGTGCCAAGAAGGAAACTGCTTTTCTTAAGGTGATAAGGACTGATACTGTTGACGAGGCATGGGGAGACGATGCGATGAAATTAGAACAGGAAAGAGATGCAGATATCAAACCAATACTGGAGTGGCTACGAAGTGGTAACAAGCCAAGTTGGAGTGACGTCGCCCAATATAGCGCGGTAACGAAAGGTTTATGGGCACAGTGGAAAAGCCTTACGCTGCATAACGGACTTCTGTGCAGGAAATGGGAATCAACAAACGGCAAGGACGAGCATTTGCAATTGGTGGTGCCTCGTTCAAAAATAAGGGATGTATTAAAAGCGTTCCATGATGGATCTTCTGGAGGACATTTGGGAATTAGGAGGACTTTGGTGAAGATCAAGGAGAGGTTTTATTGGTTGCATTGCAAATATGACGTCGAAGATTGGTGCCGGAAATGCACTAGTTGTGCAGCTGTCAAGGGTCCACAAACAAGAAGCAGAGGGGCGATGAAAATCTACAATGTTGGTATGCCTTGGGAGAGAATAGCCTTAGACATCGCTGGACCATTTCCAATCACTGATTCGGGCAATCGCTACGTTTTAGTGGTTATGGATTATTTTACAAAATGGCCGGAGGTCTTTGCCATACCGAACCAAGAGGCAGTAACTGTAGCCACGAAGTTGGTAAACGAGGTATTCACTCGATTCGGAGTGCCCTTGGAGATGCACAGTGATCAAGGACGGAACTTTGAATCCCAAGTTTTTCAGGAAACTTGTAAACTTTTGGGAATCCATAAGACTCGAACGACCCCTTATCATCCACAGTCAGATGGAATGGTCGAACGCTTCAACCAAACATTGGAGCGACACTTAGCAAAGGTGGTTGACAGCCATCAGAGAGATTGGGACACTTACATACCTCTCTTCTTGCTTGCCTATCGGACTGCTGTACATGAAAGTACCGCAAAGACGCCTGCATTTGCAAATTTTGGAAGGGAATTGAGATTACCGGCAGATCTTGTATCGGGCTGTCCACCTGGCGACTCTCGCACCGAGTTTAGCGATTACATAAGCGAGTTAAGGGCAAAAATGTTGGACATTTATGAGCAGATCAGGGAGGCCGGTCTTCAAGCTAGTGATCGCGCAAAGACGCGCTATGATCGACGAGCCAATTCTGTTGGGTTTGAAGAGGGGTCATTGGTCTGGCTTCATAATCCAGTCAGAAGGAAGGGAAAATCTCCGAAGCTGCAACCGAGTTGGGAAGGTCCTTATGAGATAGTCACGAAGATCAATGACATTACTTACAGAATTCGGAAGACTTCAAGGAGCCCTTTGAAAGTTGTCCATATAGACAGGTTGGCGAGGTATTACGGCAGCAACGATGCTCGGGACGAGCGAATCTAAGAGGGGGGCAGTGTGACGGAAAAGTGGTTCAAACTCTTTGACATCATGACGTCAATGGATGGTTGTCAAACGTTGCCTAGAGATTGTAAATTTCGTCGTGAATTGTCAACACGAGTTGGTGTAATCGGTAAGGCATGTGGATTACACCACAGAGACCCCGAGTTCGAGTCCCGCCGTAAACATGAAGTTTTTTAGTTGATAGAAGTTTTGTCGAACTTTCTGGAATTATTTGTGTGAAAGAGATGAAAAATTAAAGAGCGAGAAGGAGAATAAATAAAAATGAATAACGAAATTATTGGAAGGTTCTGGAGGCATGACGATCAAAAAGAATAACGAAATTGAATGTTCCAGAACCTGACCGGGGGTATATAAGCGGAACTGCGGCTCACCGCTGGCAGTTGAGTTCTAAGTCCAAAGCGATTCGGAAGAAAAGGAAGAAGTGAAAAAGAAGAAAAGTGAGTGAAATAGTGCAGTGCAGTGAAATAGTGAAGTGCAGTGAGTTAAGTGAAGTCAGCGTGAACAGTGAGCGGCAAACGGAAGTTTGTGTCAGTCGCCCGGACTCTGCTGGAGAGGAACGCCGATAACTTAACTCCGAGGGCGCTGTCATCTAAGTGCAATAGAAAGTCTAAAACCGGTATTAGTGTTTTATTTCATCCAATCCCGTAACCCAAGCCCGCATAGTCAGGAACGTGACGTCAGGCTCGTAACAATAGTTTTTGTTAGGCTAAGGCTAATTAATTTTGTTTTAAAAACATGGGATTCTTTTTCCAAAAGTAGTCTATCATTTGTTTATTGATTAGTGTTACATTATCATCGCATTTCAAATAAAAAAATTCGTTTAAATTTTTTCACGCAAAACGGCAATTTCATAGGTAAAAGACCTATTATTACATAAAATATTTAATAAGGCACCTTTCCAGTTTAAGGGAACACCTTTTCAGTTTTGTACGTTCCAATGCATTGTCTGTTGTACTTGATAAAAGTTCTTGATTTTTTTAAAAGATATTACAGTCACAACACACTTATCAGTCGATGATAAGGTAATACAAAGTACGCACATACATTGTAACCCGATCCAATCAAAAGTTTGCAAAAATTAATGTTACAAAGCAAAATATTTGAAACTAATCTGAAAACACGTTATCAGTGTGTTATCTAGTGGTATGCACTCGACAAACATAATAACTAGTTCACTACTGAACTTGTAGTAATCTTTTCCAAATTATTTTTTTATGTGACGTCATGGCTTCTCTTTACATTGCTATATTGAGCAAACGTTCAAGTGTGTAATAATTATTTCTAAAATGTCTCCTAATTGTTTTGGTATACAATATATTTTGTCTAACTTATTATTCTAATGTTTATCTATTTGTCTTTATGGTTTTAAAGTATCCAGATATACTATATTTAGAAACATGACAAATAAGACATTCCCAGCCTATAAGTGCCTCATCGGCATTAACCACCACGCTTGTTCAAGTCCAGGTTTCCTCACGATGTCTTCCTTTACCGTACTTCAGTGGTATTAAAAAAACTTTAAAAAGTATATATAAATCGGAAAATGTCACATTGGTATTGCTAGGTTTTGATGTGTCATTCACAAGAAGCGCATGTTACCTGGTTTATTACCAGTTAGATATATCAAAATATTCCAATCCTGCACTTAACATCTCTATTATTCATTATACAACCTCTTCTTTTTCTTCGTCAATAAGAAAGTAAACAATATTCAAAATAATTTGAATTTTCGGTAAAAAAATCGAAACATTTGTTTTGTTACTTTAGAGTAATTACCTATATAAAAATTTACAATTGATTTCAATAATGACGGCTTGTTTATCCATCTAGACTAGCCCACTGCACCAGAAATATTATAATGCGCAAACACAGGTGCACTCTGATTCCACCGACTTGAACGGCGAGACCTCATTACAACTATTACTTAGACAGATACATATAACATTTAAATAAGATCTTAAAATTATACACAGACTCCATCAAATCACAATAATACATTCTTAAAGAGAGTACAAACTCTATGGAAGCACAGTCCAGCACACGTTTCCACAAACACTTAAAATAAGCTGAAGTGTCTGTCATTTCCAGGAAGGAGGGGACTGATAATCTCTTCAGGATTCTGTCCCGTGATGAATAAGCACAAAGTTATAATACCTCCGACTAGCGACATTCCTAATAACACTCCTATTCCAATTGCTAATATTTTCTTCCCGTGCGACCACCTGGAACAGGCCCAGTACTGCTCCCGGTAAGTGCTGGAAACGAAAGAAATTTGTTATTAAGCAACGACATTTGTTACAAATTAGACATGCTTTAAAATGTATGAAATAAGTAAGTAAATACACAGTTTTCTAAACCTCTCAGCCAAGACTAGGAAAGAAACCCATCAAAAAACTTATGGGTATGTTTGGTGGCTGAAGCCTACAATTGATATATACTTATGTCCGGAGGCCCGATCCTTCCCCCACCCCAATCCCTTCCCAATCCCTAAATCCCCAAAATCCTAATCCTTAAAAGGTCGGCAACGCACGGCAGGTTCTTTGTTGCGGGTGTCCATGGGCGACGCCGATTGCTTACCATCAGGTAATCCGTCTGCTCGTTTGCCGCCCTATCACATAAAAAAAAATGTCAGTTTTATCGAGTTCATATGCTGTGTGAGAAGATAATTGAGCCGCTATTGCATTGTATTGGTACAATAACAAATACTGCTGAGATCTTTCTAAGGCATATTGACCGATATCTTATCACCTACAGAATTGATCCTTGCTGCGGAAAATAACTAAGAAATAGGGCATTGTACACGTCTTTTTAAGGTACATTTGATCTCCTTTAAAGTGTAATTTACAGCAATAGGTATCTGATGAATCTCAATAAATCCAGAAATCGTCATCTCATTGGTTAGCAAATGCAATGATTATTATCCGACCAACGAGACAGTCTCAGTTTAAACCTCGAGAGATTTGCAACGTCCTCCTATTTTCTTATTTGCCATTTATGAGCAGACAAAAAATATATAGCCTGCACTGACAACGACTAAAGTTGCAAATTAGTTTTATATTTTCAGGTCATATTATCTCGCAACCAATCGATAAGATAAACATTATGAGTCACCGATGCTTGGGTCATGAATATTTACCAGGAAATTTGTAAAATGACAATTCTTTATTGGCACACACTGTCATAAGGGATGATCCCTTTAAATTTTTAAAGGAACTACTACGGGCTAAACAGGTTTTGGTAAATTTTATTACTGAAGCGAATAGCAATAGCTTTTTGCAAGAATAAACAGCAATGGGAGAAACAGGGTTTGGACCATACAAAAACCGAAAATGCAAAAGCAACTGCTGCTAAGCGACCGATATATTTGGACGATTTTTGTACTGGTCTAAGGTCAAGGGGTTTTAATTCCAATATATGTTTAAAGTTCACAATTCTACTACTAGGTACCAAATTCTTTCTGACTGACCAATCTTTAGAAAATGTTGCTATTCGGTATGAAAATAAAAGATAAGAAAATAATTAAAAAGTGGATAATAATCTCGGTTGCTTTGACGTGTCTTATTATTTAAATCAACTTTATTTTCAGTATCTTCGTAATCTGCTTACATTTATGATTAGTTGTGTAAATATCTCTGTTGCCAAATTGATTTAAAGTCAACAGCCAACAAACAATACATCGTTGCTATAGATAAAAAAATACTTATCTAGCAAGTACATATAAGACATATTTGACGGATAACAGGAAAAAATAACAACGAACCATACTGTGATATGGTCTAGATTTTTGTACCTAAAATAGAACCTTGCGAACTCCGGCGTGATTTTGTTGAAGCCTACCGTTTAACCGCTATCGTATTGTATTTTCCCTCTACATATTTTTGTCATTTTTAACTAAAGAGCCAAATGGTTTGATTTTACCTAATCAAAAGTAATTTTCGCAAGCTTATGTAACAAGACAAATATGGAACCTGAATAAATCAAAGTTCAGGTTTGGGAGAATAGAATGGGTATACAGGGTAACGAAAATTATTACTTTAAAAAAGTTAAGGGGAATCACATTCGGATTTTGTATTGTGCACGAATTAAATAAAAATGATAAGATAACCGCGTCGTCACTTGTTTGCCGACACTGCGTAATTTTTACAAAACTTTAATTATTACAAATCATCTTGTAGATCTTAAATTCTGCCTTATTACCAACCCCGGTCATAGTTTCTAAGCTCATCAGCTCTATCTGATATCCGACCATGACCTTTAACGCTATCTAAAACCTGTGTCATAACTTTCGATTTCCCATGATATCTTTTAGTATCACCTATGATATATGGTATAGTTATCTCAGTAGTAACAGAATATGATATTAATTGTAATCGGTAATGACCGATAGTTGGATCGCATTGCCAATGATAAAAACAACGCAATAGTTCAAGACTTTACAAACCTTGTTATTGCTGGTTGACGTCTTCCTTCGTTAACACTATTTAGGCTTCCTACATATGCGTTATTAACGTATACGTAATCTGTGGATTTACTTGAGACCTTAGGCGTGCCTTTCATGGTCCCTTCGTAAGGACCTGCCGAATGAGTGTTGCGTCGTTGCTTATTCCTTGTGGGGTCTGAGCTTGCGCCACTGCTTTCGTCCTTTCGTCTCCTTTGTTGTCTCACCATATTTGCTTCTTCGTCGCTGAGATCGGCGACAGCTAATCGCTTCTTATGTCGCACAACGTGTACATTCGCAACGCCATGGTCTATGTTATCATAGTTCCTTCGTTTCTTGTGATCTCTCACGTCCACACTGTCGTCACTACTCTCAGTTTCAGGTCGCCTAGCTTGTATCGCAGTTACACTCTCAACACTACGATCAATATCTCTTTTTTTCCGTCGGCCAGCATCTAATCCATCGTGACTGCTGGATCTGTCTCGACGCGATTTGTGTCTGGCTTCGCCACTGTCTACTTCTCGACTCGTCTTACTACTGCTAGTGCTCAGTTCCTCGACACTTTTCTGCTTCCGGCGGCTCTTGTGTTTGATAAGCACGTCCACTTTCACATCGCAAAGCTCCACTTGTCCACTAGACATGGAATCCTTCTTCGGCATCGTCGAGTACGGGCGTTTACATGTACATATAACCAGTCACTGAGCGTACATATACCTTTTATCGTTCGTGATAAAGTAATCAGTAGATAGGGGTGTTCCTATTTTTTATGTTTTTGATAATATTGATACTGTTTTGCAATTTATCTCACAAGAATTATCCATCGGTTATCAGTATTGCGATATTGTGTTGCGGATTGTACAGCCTAATACCAACTGTCAACAAGTAGAATATTATCGAATGTCTACTAGGACCACAATAGATCAAACATCTATTGTTGTTTGAAGCAAAATGTCACATTATCGTATCAGTATAACTACCGTCTCTCCAGACACCAGCCAGGTGTTCGGTTCCTGTTATCTTACATTAACTGACCTAGACTGCATCGTCTTCAGATAAGATATCGCGGTACACAGAATAATTTTAAACTCTAAAACAACCAATGTGTCCTTCAAAGTGATTAATCACTGTTAACCTTCCGCAGAAACGCTTGTTTTGTTTTCTAGTAAAGTATAATATACGAGTATTGTAAATGCTGTTGAATGTTCGGGCTCAGAACCCATTAAATTAAAGCCAATAAACAGTTATATGACCAGATAGTGTGTGTACTTTTTCTTTGAGAACATTTTAGAATCTACTCGTGTAACAGGATGATCACGGATAATTTCTAAAGTAGCCTTCTATTAAAGGAGGGACTGGTCCAAAAAAGGCGTCAGTATTATTATACCTGGATTCCAGAGGAGCTAATTAGAAAAATGTCTCGTTAATTGTGCAATGACGCGACCGGTAGCAGTCGGGCGCCTTGTAAGGGTCCGCTAATGAGGTGGACGCTGCTTTTTGTTCGCCAGAGCGTTTGTTACCGCGAAGTCGTCAAAAATGTCGCTAATAGTGCCAGTGTTACCGTAAATTTCCTTGAAAGGATTGAAAGTCGTGCTACTCTGTGTCGCTGAGATTGTTAAAGTATTCGGCAGTAAAATTTTTGATATATTTTTTTATGTCACACACACACACACATACTGTGCTTTTGCACACCGCAAAAGGCTGCTATTTTATATAACTTTATTTGCACTGTTTAGAAAAGTACAGTGCATAGCAATTAAAACAAATAATTTATTTTGTATTAAACACGGCATTTTGACAGGATGATAAGAAATGGAGGGATTTTGTATCTCCTTACACATACAGCATGCTGTGTGCTCCTTACACATAGTTGCATTGCATATATCCTCTTCATCCATACTCCTCTAATCAGTCGTCGTGATATGAGGAACTCCTTTTCACGCACAATGTATCCTTTGTTTGATTCCCTCTTTGTTTCCTATCTGAACACCTGCACTCATCACTTCGACACGTTTACACACAATAGCAGGGATGGAAAAGGACATAGACTAATTCATATAGGCAAAGTCACGGGACATCATCATAATCAAATCAGCCAATATACGTCTTCAGCATTCATCATCATCAGCCTATAAGTGCCCATTGCTGAGCAAAGGCCCCTTCTTATACTGAGAAGATTAGAGCATTAATCACCACCCTTGCTCAATGAGGTTGGCGATTTCAAACTTATTATTAGAAATTATAAGTCCAGGTTTCCTCACGATGTTTACCTTCACTGAACGTCAGTGGTGTCTAAATAATCATAGTATGTACATATAACTTGAAAAAAGTCACATTGGTACTTGCCGGGTTTCGAACCCACACCATCATGTATGAGAAGCGGGCTCCTTATCCTCCGGGCCACCACGACATACGTCTTGCGCTGAACATATTCCCAATAACTTTTAAAAAACTAAAGATGGAGATTCTTGTTCGTTTTTCTCCTTCCGAATCAATATTTTGGGACGAATACTTAGCTTCACTGACGAACAGGCTGACAGACTAATATTCTATTCAGACGTTCCAAAAGAACTTATTTATGGTTAATGAGGCATAGGTAAATGATTTTGACTTTTGATTATCCAGTTTTTGACTTCCACATAGGCTGGTTGGAAGCAACCTGCTGTGACTACGTAATTATACAAGGCTTGGCTCTGCTTCGCTCGTGGGACACATACATATATTTCGTCTTATTAAATATTAATAAATATTACCTATACCACAAAAGATGACGCATTCATCCAGACTAGCCAAAGCCTTTCAAAACAAAAAAGTATTAGAAATCGGATGTTTTTGAGTTTACTAGTTACTAAACCCCATACAAAGACAAATTTGTACTCTTTATAATATACCCGAGCGTACGGCGCGTAGCGTTCCGCGCGCGCCTCAAAGAGTCAATAGACCACCACAGACGGGGCCTTACAGGGCTGATGTTCAGCCGGGGTTGCGGGGTAAGCGCAATGAGGCACCGCGACCTCGGCTCAGAGCAGGAGAAAGAACAGGGGTTTTTAGTCAGTCATAGTCTGACACTCCCTCACGCCCGACCCTGGGCGGGAGAAGTAATTTGACGCTTTTCCACGCACAAAAAAACTCTTTATAATATTGCTGTAGATGTTAGCAATTAGCCGGGGTTGAGGGTTAAGCGGAGCAGGAGAAGGAACGGGGGGGCGGGGGGTTTAGTCAGTAAGAAACTCCCTCTTGTCTCACCCTAGGCGAGACAAGTCACTTTGTGAAAACCCTTCCCCCCTCGAAAAAAGAAAAAAGAAGATGTTAACAATTATACAATCAGTGTAGGTTAAACAGTGGATAGTGTTTGAAAGTAAAAGTATTTGCGGTGTAGATATGTAGGATCTGTGTGTTGGTGCCATCGACTGATTAGATTACATCACGAGTACGCAGCATTATACAAATACTATCACAAAGCAAGCTGTATACGCATTAATAATTACTTTATACTGAGAAACACTTAACTTGTTAATCGTAGTTATTCGAGACGGCACATTAGTAAGACAGTAGGTGCCCGAACCACACATTAGCTTTTTTTCTCAGGGGAAAATCATCAAATGACTTCTCCCGCCCAGGGTTAGGCGAGAGAGAGTGTTAGACTCTTACTGACTAAAAACCCCCCCTTTCTTCTCCTGCTCTGGGCTGAGGCCGCGGTGACTCATTGCGCTTAACCCGCAACCCTGGCTGAACATCAGCCCTATAGGGCCCCGTCTGTGGTGGTCTATTGGCTCTTTGAGGCGCGAGCAGAACGCTGCGCACCGTACGCTCGGGTTTGGTTCTGGTCGGGTGGCGAGCTACCCTTACTCGCCGTCCGCAGACCCGCGCTAACCAGCATTAGCTTGGGATTTGATGAATTATTTTTACAATGAGTAGAAAACATTTTAGTTAATGATATAATAGGTATTTTTATTAAAAAATAAACTGAGGAAAGCTCTACTAGTTTCAAGTGACAGGGACTCTTATTCATCTACATATTGAAACGAGCACCTAGTTTCACTGACGAACTGACTCCCATTCGGGGTTTGTTTGCATATGTCAATAGATAATTTAAATGCGGGAGAGCCATGTATCGGCACGAACGGATCGACTCGATCGGAGTTATCACTTCGGCCTCACAGAAAACCGAGGTGAGACGACCATAGCGTTGTGTTTCGCCGTGTTAGTGAGGCTACCGGATGCCCAATCCTTCCTTAATCACTAAATCCCCAAAAGGTCGGCAAAGCACTCGTAACTCTTCCGTTGTTGCGGGTGTCCATGAGCGGCGTTGATTGCTTACCATCAGATAATCCCCTTGCTCGTATAAAAACCACATAAAAATGGTATTATTGAGTTTACCGTTTAGATACTTGTTTATAATTTCGCCTTGCCTTTTTTTTTAAATTTAGTACTATAGTCATGCTAATATACCATTATAAAATTCCCAGAAAATGGAACTGCTGCACGTGATAATCAAGTCGGGACCTTCGCCGCGACCCCTCGCTTGGTCTCTGGATGTCTCGCCTTCTGAGGAAGGAGACGACTGGAGAATGATCAGAGCCTTCGGAGACAAGGACCATTGCCGTAAACTCTGGGATTTGAGGCCTGAGAGACGACGACGGAAGGCCAGGGCAGCGAAGAGAACGAGTAGAGCTGATAAGCCTGCCTGTTCCACGCAGTTCGCTAGTCCGAGACCACTTGAAAATGGAGAGGTATTGTTCTGTTGTTATATTTTCATCTTTGTCTCTTGTTTTTGCTTTGTTTCCAACCATCCGCTTTATTTAGGAATTTTAACTGGAATCGGTATGATCCAAAATTAAATTGCAAAGTTTTAGTGTAAGGGTTCAACATTATTTTAATTCTTTTTATCGCGTTATTAAAATATAATTGTGGTTGAACGCAGTTTTAAAAATACGGGTTCCAATTTGAAATTATATTTGACGATGTTTCGGAACAGAAGGAATGCATTTTGGAACAGATTCGTCATTCTAGGCACGGACTGCAAATAACGCGAATCGCCATAAATAATGTGTTTTAATTAAAGGTTTTTTAAAATTACAGATGCATGTTGGTGTGGGTGAGGGCGTGGTGGCGCGGCGCGTGCGCGTGTCATTCCGCGCTGCGCACGCGTCGCCCGCGAAACAACAATACTACACGGTGCGCGCGCTCACTGTAGCCGCGCGGTGTCTGTGCCACGGACACGCCACTAAGTGCGATGTCAACGCTCAGGTTCGTATAATCTATATATATATAAATCAATGCCACTTTCCGTTGTCATATTATATATAACTCAACAATGCCTTTCCTGATTTGGCTAATTTTGTCTTGAATTATAATTCATGGAAGACCAGAAAAGGTTTTTATGTACCTGGAGAAAATAAAAAAAAAACTTGAAAAAATGTAAAATCGACATCTACGCGGACAGAGCCGCGGGCGACCGCTAGTACTATGTAAATTTAAACGGCAGACTCACTGTTATGGAATATGAAGCACATATACACTAATTATAAACTACATACCTACTCCAAATCCGAGTGTGATGGTGATTATTACCATGTTTGGAACACGTAAAAGACCACCTACCTAGTCTTTTAGCGGTATTTTTTACATTATTATTCTCGTGAGTTCAGTAATCACGGCTTAATCACGAAATGGTTCGACACGAGCAATTTGAAGCCACGCTAGACAAGCATGCACGGGGCTGATAAATAGTCATGTCTGATCGTAATCGATTATTTCTTATTTACTTCTCTATAATATTTTCATGTATTTATTCCAGGGTGCAAAGTGTGAATGTGAGCACGGTACCTGTGGAGCTCACTGCCATCGGTGCTGCTCCGGAGGGACCTGGTCTCCTCATCAACCCTGTGATGATGGAGAGGAGAAAACTGAGTGTTCCTGTGGGGAGCGCGGGGCCTGTTCCTATGATGACACTGGCGCCATACTTTGTGTTAACTGCACGGTACTTATAAATTATCCTACTAATAATATTAAACTTAATAGAGTCGGGTGGATTTTGCTTTTTCTAGCAAAAACTGCTGAACTGATCTGAATGAAACTGTGAACAGTGTTTATATTATACCCAAGATTAAAACGCATTTTTCGCAATGTACACTTAAACCGTACTCAGAGAAATTTAATGAGCACTTAAACCCAGACCTCAGCAGTGTTTTAAGTAATAATTAAATCTCAGCTTTGAGCTTCGAGAAGAACCTGGTTATTAATAAGATGCCAACTAAAAAATAATTTCTTTTAGTAGTCTAAAATATCTAGGGATACCTACTTATACAGCCAAAATATTGACGTTTTTTTGTTTGATAATTTTATGGATTATTAAAGTGAGATTGTGTGTTATCGACAGCTGGTTGATACGTAAATGATATCTTTTATATAGGTAATTATGTACGTACATATTTATTTTTAGATTATTAATCAAATCTGAAAGTTGGTGTGTGTTTTCTACAATCAATAATACCTATGTCTTGTTTGACACTGTTGTTTCATGATTCGACAAACCATATCGTGAGCTGTATGAAGGTATCATTCGTACCTATCTGACAAATCCTCATGATAGATAGGCATATTTTTATGCGGGTAATAACGAACCTCCGTACTTAATTCTTGAAGAAATTTTTTGACCCCCTTGCCCTATGAACTCTAGCTTAGGTACCCGAGCGTACGGCACGTAGCGTTCCGCGCGCGCCTCAAAGAGCCAATAGACCATCACAGACGGGGCCCTGTATGGCTGATGTTCGGCGGGGGTTGCGGGGTAAGCGCTATGAGGCCTAGAGTAGGAGAAGGAACAGGGTGGTTTTTAGTCAGTAAGAGTCTGACACTCCCTCCCGCCCGGCCCTGGGCAGAAGAAGTCATTTGATAATTCCCTCCCCCAAAGGTTACTGCGTACGACTAAAATAGTTTATTTTGTATTAAAATCGTGATAATATATTTAGCTTTGGATTTTCTTTTGCAGGAGAATCGGGCTGGACCTTTGTGTGACAGATGTCTGTTCGGGCATTACAACGCTCTGCCTGATGGGCCCTGTGTGCCATGTGGCTGTGACCCTCAAGGATCTGATGGTATGTATACTAGCTGCACATCATCAGCCTATAAATGCCTACTGCCGATCAAAGGCCTTTTCTCACTCTGAGAAGATTTGAGCAATAATCACTACGCTTGGTGAAGGCAGATTCGCAATTTCAAACTTATAATTAGAAATTACCTGTTGTTTTCCTTCACCATATTATGTTAGTGATTTGTAAATATAGGTACCTAACTCGAAAAAAGTCACATTGGTACTTGTCAGCTTGCGCACCCTCATTTATGAGAAGAGGGCTTATCATTCTTTTCTTACTGCTTCCAGGATCTTGTAAATGGGATAAGAAGCACAGACAGGTGGTCTGCAGCTGTTTGCCAGGGTTCACAGGTCCTCTGTGTGACACCTGCGAGGAGGCCACGGCAGAGTTCCCAAACTGCCAGACCCCAGTGACTCCGGCCTGCAAGTGTGACCCCCGCGGTATTGTGGACCCTGAACGAGTTTGTGATGAAGTTTGTGAGTGTAAAGTAAGTGTGTATTCATCATCATCACCGTTATCATTATTACTGATAGTAAATAAATAGCGCCGCCCACTAGACATGAAACAAAAGAGAACTTACTTTTGTGTGTTGCTTCACGCCGGTTTTCTGTGAGGCCGTGGTATCACTTTTTTTGCTTATTAATGTATATAATATTGTTTGTCCTATTTTTAGAGCAATGTGGTGGGCGAGCGTTGTGACGCGTGTGCCCCGGGCCACTTCGGTCTGCTGGCGGAGTGGCCGGAGGGCTGCAAGCCCTGCTACTGCTCGCATGTTTCCGACACCTGCACCCTGGCCTCCCCCGAAGAAGTGGAGCTACCGAGAGATGTCAGTACCTTACATTGTTAACTAACAAAGAAATGGAATGATTAAGTAATTTGCGATTGAATTCATAATATTAATATGATCAACGGTGCGAATTTGCTTCGGCTCCTCGTACGCCTTCCAAAGGTCCCAGATCGTGTTGTTGGAATTGGAAGCGAAATAAAATAAATTATGATTATTTATGATCATGCAAAAAGGTTTCATATAAAGTAAAATATGCAATACATAACATACCCTAAATATTTAGTTTTCTTGCACTAAAACGAATTCACGTTTATATAAATTAATACTGACACATGTATATTTGCATTATTTCTTATAGATAGTGTTTTCTGAGTGATAAATTTCCAGGAAAATAATGGTTAAAATGTTGCCAGGTGATCCTGCCCCTCGGCGAGGCGTGGCTAATCACCGACTTTCAAGGAAACGAAACGCTAGAGCCATCTGTTGACGAGCAAGGGAAACCGTTTGTCATAAGTTATGAGGTGAGTTCGATATATTATTATCCTGTATTAGCAAAAGCCACTGCACCAACCGTCTTTCAATTATTATTGTGTTTATTATTCCATTTATCGAGGAAGGCTATAAACCATCACGCTAAGATATTTAGGAGCCGAGCAGTGGGTGAAACCGCGTGACAGTTGCTAGTAAAATAATAATAAGTAGGTCATGTCTATGAAACTGCCCTCAGCCACCAAAGAATGGACGCAGCATTGTCTTAACATACGGTGATCTAGAAAATAGTAATCTAGTACTGAGCAAACAATGTCCAAAATCCAATGGCTGGAATATGTAATACAACATTTTTCGTGTTTCAGGTAGAAGGGTGGGAATACTTCTATTGGTTGACGAACTCTTTCAATGGGGACCAGTTGGCTGCGTATGGGGGCGAAGTCCTAGCTTCCGTTTACTGGGGCATCGTGAGAGGGGACACGGGAGGAAACCCCACCTTTGGACCAGACGTCATACTTATTGGGACAGGCAAGTTAAAACTGTACCGTCTGTTAGTTTTTGTTAATTTCTGAACTTTAAGACAATGTGATATGGTTGAAAATTATCAAATGTTTAGAATGCATCGAACAACTAGTTGCGCAAACTATTTGGTAGATAAGTCGTTAAACGTGCAAAAGGAATACCTGATGGTAAGCAATCAGCGCCGCCCATGGATACCCGCAAAAGAGAAGTTACGAGAGCGTTGCTGATCTTTTTGGTATTAGGCATTTGGAGATTTAGAGATTGGGGGAGGGGAAGGATTGGGCCTCCGGTAACCTCATTCACACGGTGAAACACAATGATGTTTCACGCCGGTTTTCTGTGAGGCCGTGTTAATTGTTCGTCATGGAGTCCTTCAAATAGATCTCTTAATGTGTTGTTAATAAAACTCATTTTCCTTTAAATTAAGACTTGTTATATTTATTTCGCAGATGGCACTATGCTCGCTTATTCCAACACTAGCCACGAGGCCCCTGGAAACCTCCAGATCTCTGTGCCACTACTGGAAGGAAATTGGCGCGTCGTGGAAGATGACCAGTTGGCTTCTAGGACACAGCTGATGGATGTTCTGCGAGACATGAAGGGGATTATGTTGAAGGCTCACTATCACTTCGATCAGGATGAGGTAATACTTTGAATGTTGGTATACTGTAAATCATCAGCTCATTATCATCCACTGTTGAACAGAGCTCCAATAAACATATCCACACTAGGATTTTCTCCTGTGTCGTGAGTCCGTTGACAAATACATATATACCTAAGTTGGCATATACATCACACAACAGTCTGTAACTCCATGCGAGAATCGAGCCCATGCCACTGATATCAGATACTACGCCAACTGTGCTACCAACTTTTTTTTAAATATATCACGTTGTCCCATACTGGGATTTTCTCCTGTGTCATGGGTGCGTTTACAAAACACACAAGCTACCCAGACCCGAAACAACAATTTGTCAATCACACAAAGTGTTTTTCCGTACGGGAATCGAACCGGCGGCACGTTGCATATCAGCCGGTTACCCAGCCACTACGTCAATCGTGCAGTTAAATACTGGACCATATTTAGTGACTAAACCTACCTGAAAGGCCCTACACTTCGTGGATAAAAATGGGGAGGCGTCGATTCCTGTGTAAACAACTGTCCATTCCTTCTAGCATTTGTTATTCCAGGTCTGATGTGACAAAAGAGCTTACGCAATCTTGTATAATGTCTTTGTTTAACGGGATAGTGTATGATATGTATGGATGAGTCCTAGTTTGACATGCAGGGGTCGGCTCGTTTGGATATGATATGATAGTTGGACCTCACAGAAAACTGGCTTGCGTTGTGTATTGAAGTATTAACGAGGTGAACAGAGACCACATCCCTTATCCCAAAGTTCCTAACGTTTTTTTTTTATTACGACAAGTTCGCCTCAACTTCCCAAAATAAGAAAAGAGAGAAGGAACGGAGGGGTTTTTAAAGAGTCTGACACTCCCTCTCGCCTCACCTTGGGCGGGACTTTTGATGATTTTCCTCTACCAAAAAAAGCCATAGTAATAGAAGCCAGAATTGCAGGGTAAGCGCAATGAGGCACCGCGGCCTTGGCCTAAAGCAGGAAAAGGAACAGGGAGTTTTTAGTTAGTCTGACACTCTGTCTCGCCTCATCCTGGGCGGGAGAAGTCACTTGATGATTATCCCCTTTAAAGAAGAAAGCCATAGTAATATAGGAGTATGGTGTAGGTGCGGTTGGAGCGCGTGGGCGTGCGCGGCGGGCGCGCGCGGCGCGAGGCGTGCTCGTGCCCGCTCGGGTACACGGGCGCGCACTGCGCGCGCTGCGCCTGGGCACACGCGCGCCTGCCGCACTACCAGTGTCTGCCCTGCGCCTGCAACCTGCACGCCGCCTGCGACACCGGTCAGTATACCTCCATACATTTTTTTTATTAAAACTTTATTCCACGCTACGCATTAACCCACGCTATTATTTTCTCCTGCACATCACACCCAGATCCGGAACAACAATTTGTGGATTACACAAAGAGTTGTTCCGTGCGGAAATAGGACCCACGACACGTTGTGTGACAGCACAGCACCAACCGTGTAGTCTCAGCCAACGTCTCAACGTCGCACCCAACTACTTTAAAAAAACATTTAATTAACACCCAGCCCTTTTTCTAATAACTTTTAAATTTGTAATGGTCCATTTCTGTGTGTTTGAGTAACAACGAATTTGAATTATTTTAATGAAATACCTTCACGCTTTAATTAACGGCCCGAACGAAAAAATCTGTATCTTAAACAAACAGTAAGGTTCAATCAAATGACTAATGTAGCTACTATAACTCTCATAACGCCCGAAAACAATGCCAGATAGCAATCAAAATTATGCATTGTTGTAACTATGTATTGTTTAAGTGTGGGAGAGCCAAGCTTCGGCACGAATGGCTCGACCGGAATGATACCACGACCTCACAGAAATCTGGCGTGAAATAACCAAAGAGTTGTGTTTCGCCGTGTGAGTAAGGTTACCAAAGGCCCAATCCTTCCGCTACCCCGATCCGTTCCCTTTCCCAAAATTTCCAAATCCCAAATCCCCAAAAGGTCACACACACACACTCGTAACTCCTCCGTCATTGCGGGTGTCCATGGGCGACGCTGATTGCTTACCATCAGGTAATCCGTTTGTTCGTTTGCCGACCTATCACATAAAAAAAATATTAAACATCTGCTCCATAACTTAAATCGAACTAGAGATTTATTTATTCATTACAACCTTATTAAATAAATCTACTCGTATTACACATCCTATTACGTAACACGAGACTCTGTCAAGTGGTGAAACAGGTGGTGTTATTATGCATTCCTCATCACACGCACATGACTCACCGATATAAGCATTAACTGATAACGATTGTAATCGATATCATTCGAGATCATAGCAAATCGTTGACGAGTCACATCACTATGAGTGTAGTTCGTCATTCCACACATCCTTGAGTCACCTTGACCGTGACTAATTACGTCACAATAGCAAAATACAATTATAACAACAATGTAAAATAACATATATAAAAGACTGTTTTTTATGGTATGGTATCAGACGGCAAACGAGCCGACGGATTACCTGATGGTAAGCAATCGGTGCCGCCCATGAACACCCGCTACACCAAAGGAGTTACGAGTGCGTTGCCGGCCTTTTGGGGATAGAGGTTGCGGATATAAGGATCGGGAAGGGATAGGGGAGGGGGAGGGATTGGGCCTCCGGTAACCTCACTCACACAGCGAAATACAACGCTGTTGCTAATTATTTTGCTATGTTTTTGTAATTTTAATTATTAAACTTTCGACCCTTTGAATCCTTGGCAATCAGTTAGCAAATGCCCAGCTAATCAACACAACAGCTAAAATTTTTATCAATAATTTTATTAACGGAATTTGTTCACAGTGGATGGACCATGCGGGCCGTGCCAACACAATACAACGGGCCCGCACTGCGAGCGATGTCTGCCCGGACACTACGGAAATCCTGTACAGGTATACTATAAATGATATTGGTTCATCATCATCAGCCTATTAGTGCACACTGCTGATCAAAGGCCTCTTCTCACACGGAGAAGGTTAGAGCATTAATCACCAAATTGCTCGAGGCGGATTGACGATTTCAAACTTAGAAATTATAAGGCCAGGTTTCCTCACTAATTCCTTCAGAATCCTCTTGCTCATTTTGTCAAAGCAACAAAGCACTTAACCGACGATATCAATTAGTTCCAAGCCGGGTCTCGGCTGTTGCAAAAGCCGCTTATATAGCGGCTTCCAATCGTGGCCTGAAACTAGTCGAATAACCTCATCAAACAATTATAAATGTGAATGTACATAGTCTGGCCATAAATTTTCCGTTGCAAATAACATTAATTACTTTTAGAGTATGTAAGTTTAATACATAAATATAAAACAATTTTAAACATAAAAAGCTTATTCGAAGTGGTCTCCATTGGCTGCAATACAGTTCTTTAAACGTTCTATTGATAAAGGCCAGTTATCAATAGAAGCACGCACTCTTTCCATGGGAAAATTCTTCACTGCCAATCGTATGGATTGTTTTAGGGAGTCCAAATTATCATGACGTTTAGAGCAAGCCCTACTCTCTAAAACTGACCATAAATCATAATCCAGCGGATTAAGATCGGGTCTAGACGACGGCCAGTCTTCAGCTCTGATGAAGTCGGAAACGTTCGTTTCCAACCAAGACTGCGTGGACCGAGCTTTATGACCCGGCGCCGAGTCTTGCTGGAAGGACCATTGTTGGTTATTGAACACGGTGTTGTTAAGGGGCTTAACTACCTTCTCAAGAATGGTATTTTGATACACTTGTGCCGATGTTTTGATACCTTTTTCGCAAAAGTATGGCTCAGTCACTCCTTCATAGCTAATACCCCACCAAACCATCACTGAAGTCGGATAATGCCCACGTTGCACTCTGTCGACTAATTGAGAAGCTTCCTTAGAGCTTTGAGCATAAATACGGTCATTTTTTTTGTTAAAATGTTGCTCAATAGTAAAAATATTCTCATCCGTAAACAAAATTTTTCTGTGTCCTCCTTTTGCGTACCGCTTCAGTAGTTGTTTAGATTTTATCACACTATTCTTTTTTAAATTATCATTTAAAAAATGTCCAGTGCGTCTCTTACAGGCTGCAAGTCCTAAGTCGTCTTTTAAAATACGCGACACGGTTCTAATTTGTGGTAATGATTTGTTTGAAATTTGTTATGTACGAGTAGATATGTAGATTAACATATAGGCTGACTACCAACATACCACGCGGGCATAGCCGCGGGCGGAAGCTAATTACATTATATTTTATTGCCAGGGAGCGTGCAAGCCTTGCGCGTGTCCGTTGTACGAAGCCAGCAACAACTTCAGCCCCAACTGCGCGCTGGCCAGCGCTGAGGGAGACGAGTACGTCTGCACCCAGTGTCCTGACGGGTACATCGGGGATCACTGCGAGAAGTAAGTTCCCATGCCAAAATAAGTCACGTTCCTACCCTACCATCATCATTCATCATCATCAGCCTATAAGTTGTCCACTGCGGAGCAAAGACCTCTTCTCACTCGGAGAAAGTGAGAGCATTAATGTAAAAAATAAAATAAATCTCCAACCATGCTTGCTCAAAGCGGATCAGCTATTTCAAACTTATAATTAGAAATCATTAGTCTAGGTTTCCCCCAGATTTTTTCCTTCACCATATGTCAGTAGTGTCTAAATAATCTTAGAAAGTACCTACATATAAATAGGAAAAGGCACATTTGTATTTGCCAGGTTTCCAACCTGCACCGTTATGAATCAGAATTACTACTTACTACGTGATTAGGTTTTTTAGATTTTTATTTAAGGTTATTTGAATTCCAATCAAGGTATCTTTTAACTTTAGAATGTGTGTTTCTTCCGCTTGTGTCATGAGTATCCACTATTACACTCTTGCAAAAGGGATGAGGTTTTAAAAGTGGAATGTTGCAAGGTAAACATCATTAGCAGTTTGGTATTATTATGCAAACTGAACCAAATTTTAATCATGCTTGCTGTTTAGGTGATGTAATTACATTCTTATATAAATATATACATTTATAAAGGTTATACTAGTGATGTGTAAATGTGACAGTTGCGACTTCGGCTACTGGGGTTCGCCCACGACCCCGGGTGGGCGCTGCCAGGCGTGTGAGTGTGGGGGCTCTCCCTGCCACCCCGCCACGGGGCGCTGCCTCACTTGCCCTCCGCACACAGAGGGCGCGCGCTGCGATCTCTGCAAGGTACGTTATTCAATTAGTAACAAGGCTTTTGAACCCACTTGATGGGAACTCTATTTCTTAATTTTTATTTTTCCAATACCTAACAAATTTACGTAACCTGATTAATTGTTCTTTCTCTTTCACTGCACGATTCGTTTCAATATTGAAGAATGCAATGAAGAACTTGAACTTTCTGAAATATCATTGCCAAATGATTAGTACTAGTAGTAAGTAGACCACCTTCTTGTCACGATGGTTTTTGTGTATAGGAAGGCTACTGGTTTGGTGAGGAAGGTGTGGGTCCGTCGAGTGCGGGGTGCGTGCAGTGCGCGTGCGGCGCGGGCGCGCTGTCGGGCGCGTGCGACGCGCGGACGGGGCACTGCGCGTGTCGCGCCGGATGGACGGGCCGCGCCTGCGATACTTGTCTGCCAGGATACGGCGGTAAGTCGACTTCATCAGTGTTCAACTGTTTTTGGGTTTATGTCGTAGGTCGGCAAACGAGCAGACGGCTTACCTGGTGATAAGCAATCAGCGCCGCCCATGGCCACTCGTAGTACCAAAGGAGTTAAGCCCAGGACCTAGTCTTCTTGTGGTTTATTAGAACTTGTGGACTAGCTACTCTCGCGCAGTTTCACCCGCTGCTCAGGTCCTATAGATCGTAGCGTGATGTTTTATAGTCTATGGCACTCAGGAATATTGTAGCTGTCTATCAGTAAAAGAATTTTGGAAATCCGACCAGCGGTTCCAAAGATTACACTCTACATACAAACTCACAAACTTACAAATTTTACCTCTTTATAATATTAGTATATGTAGATGTAGGTTAGAGGATTTGAGGATTAAGAATGGGGAGGGGGAGGATTGGACATACGGTAACCTAACTCACACAAGGTAAAACAAAAGGTAAGTGTTGCTTCACCCTGGTTTTCCGTGAAGCCGTGGTATCATTCCGGTTGAGCCGGTCCATTTGTGCCGCAGCATGGCTGTCTTACTTAAAATGCCTATACAGATTTCAAATAAAACTCTTGCTTATCTATTTGTATAAATACCTATAAGTACTTATATGTTTATTTAACTGGTGTTCCATATGCAGGTGTGTCAGCGGGTTGTCCAGTATGTCGGTGCGGCACGGCGGCGCTGAACGCGACCTGTGACGCGGTGTCAGGAGAATGCGCGTGCGCACCCGGGGCCGCGCCGCCATCTTGCGACACGTGTCTGGACGAGCACTACGGATTGGACAGTACGGGCTGCAAAGGTAAGTGCATGCAGCTGTGTCATTCATGTTTGAGTTTATAGATGGCAATTGTTTTTTATTTTCAGTGCGGTTTACAGATTATTAAGTTATTTAATTTTATTGAAAGAAAGAACAAATTGAGAGCGCATCCTTGAAAATACATGTATAAAAACTCGGAGAGAATTTGAGTTTTCACTGACGAAAATCAGATGACGAATAAAGGATTATTCTACATAAATTGCTATAGGATAAGTGCTTCTGCTTTCACGGACTTTATATTCACGAGTTCGGATCGGTTTCGGGTTTGACGTAGTGCAGAGGCGCCAATATTCACTTTCAATAAATTTAGTATGTCTCTCGATAGTTATTTCACAATTAATTAACTTTTTTAGAAAAGAAAAAACTATAGTCAGACTTTTAATTCGATTCCTGGTTTGACATTTACCACTGTCATTTTGTGAAATAATGATACCACATATAACAGTGTAGTGATGAACACAAAAATCGATAAACAATCAGTGAATCAGTTTCAGGAAGGCATTCAAAAAATTACGGCTACCGAATGGTCTAAATGTGTATCCCATTTTTTCAAAGAAGAGGAAAAAATGAGTAAGCTAGATATGTTAATTGACAATAAATATCAAAGACACAATTCATAATAAATGTTACATAGAGTAACGGCAATAGCGATAGCGATGACGGTGACAATTTATAAAATGTCTGTTTTATTTGTCACGTTCCTTCATGATCACATTTTTTATTAATTTCACACACAATTACAAAAGAAAAGTCTCAGATCGTTAATTAATTGTCAAAACTAAATTATCGGTTCAGAAATATTTTATTTCCTGATAAACTTAGTTTACGAGAGTAAATTTATAAACGAGAGGAATCGATTCAGAAATATTCGATTTCCATATCGAATAATTTCGCAACGTCACTATTTATTACGTGTCATAACGTTGCAACACTGAAATTGTCAAATCTGGAATGGAATTAAAATTCCGAGAATAGGTTCTTTTTGTGTTTTTAAACGTCGATATTCTGCTTTGTCACAGTAAAAATATCATACAGTATTGTAACTCGGCCGCTTGAAAGAAATAAATACCTACAGCCGCGCGGTACGTAAACATGCGTTAGGGCTGCTCGTCTCCAGTATTTTAATTACCTTTGTCTACTTTCTGTTTCCATTTAGTTTTGTGATTGTAAATATCCTTTTTTTATATAAACAAATAAAGTGCTTTAAACATAAACAAATAAAATTTCTTTGGCTACCAATGCCGAACTGAACAGCTGACTACGAATGTTCTAAAATCACAACCCTCAAACATCAAAATATTACATGAGTCTAGCTGTTATTATTGTTGTTATTAAAACCGAGAAAAAAAACAGTTGTAGCGACATCTATCGCACAACCATAACAACAGCACCAATCACGTGCAAGATTCTACATCGCGCAAGTGAAGTTAACGCGCTAAATAGCACAATAGAAAAATCCCGACAACAACAGTCGGGCAGTAGCCCAGCCAGGCACGAACACCTCGCCTGGTCGGAGGATCCTCCCTTTTCAATGGAGGATGAGGAAGTTTCCATCCTGTTCCTCATACCTCCAAACTGGTGACCCCGAACATGAACATCAAGCAGCCTTCGTGCAACTACTTCATAGCCATGACGTCATCACTTCCTGGAGCTTTCAAGCAGCGAATCCTACAGTCAGCCAGCTTCCACGGCTACAACGGGTTCCCTGACCACCAGCATGCAGCCAATGCGCATTCCTGGTCAGCACCTACAGCCTCATCAGCAACTTCGGCACAGCATACTGCACCGGCCGGTCAGCAAGCAGAGACGTACTCCCTCTCCTGGTCGACGCAGCAGCCAGCCACTCTTCAGCACTGCAACACCCCGACTCACTGGGGCACCCCCGCAGACAGTTCCGACTCACCGTGAACTATGCGGCAGCGGTTCCGACGCACTGGAACCATCAACTGGCTCGACAAGACAAGACATTCAGACGACTCAACCTGCTAACGACCTCCGGTCTCGGAGGGGAGTGGTGTAGCGACATCTATCGCACAACCATAACAACAGCACCAATCACGTGCAAGATTCTACATCGCGCAAGTGAAGTTAACGCGCTAAATAGCACAATAGAAAAATCCCGACAACAACAGTCGGGCAGTAGCCCAGCCAGGCACGAACACCTCGCCTGGTCGGAGGATCCTCCCTTTTCAATGGAGGATGAGGAAGTTTCCATCCTGTTCTTCATACCTCCAAACAGTTTTTATTGGTATTATGTTGTTAAAGCAGCAGCAAAAACTCTTTATGAAAATTTCGAAAACTATGTAATGACACAGAGACTGTCAAATTTATTTTTTCTAGTATTATTCATAAACACAGATAATAAACAAATATTATTAATAATAAAATACCACACTCTCTACTTTGAATTATACAAACTAACAAAACATACATGAACCGTTTTAACACAAGCGTAAGTAGGTAGGTACCTAACGTATCATGATTCATTCAGAACCAGAACCGCCTATAACTACCTATTTCACTCGTCTCAATAACTTTATTCATTTTATTTATAAATTCAAACACCTGTTTTCGTGAGATAAAAGGAAATAATGATCCATTATAAAGACACACATTATGTACCCATCTAGGCTACTAGTAGGTAAGTAAAATTATTTTATAGTCTCACCTTTCAGAGTTTCCAGGTAATTTAAAAAAAACTTATGTCTGGATGCGTTATTTACGAATTCATGCAACCAAACACAGCACAATATTTCCTATTCGTCATATTAAATAATGTACTCGAGCTGATTTCTAAATAAAAGACAACACACCGTCCGTTCGTAACTGCGGTACAGCCGCGTCTGTCTGCATCCCGAGCGCGCCCCGACATCGGGCGCGTAGGTATAGTTCGCGTTTCGGCCGTTTCTATGAAGTCGGAATACTTGTAGATATTATTACCTTGGCTTTGTGCTATTATAGGAGTTTACAATTAAGAAAGCCAGATTTTAATTAGGGATAGGTATTTAAAGGGAGCAATCTTTTTTTGTATTGCCTTTAGCGTTTCCTACTTCTATGATGCACAAAACATAAGTTTTTACATAGCCATAAGTATATAGTTGTTTACATATATTTTTGTACGAATTCAAAAATATCGAAATCATCTAAAAAACACGTACTTGGAATCTTGATAGGCGTTTCAGAATTATGTAAATAGCCAGTCATACGCAAAAGACTGTTTACACACAAACAAAAGTCCAAGAGCACGCACTTAATGCCTGTAACCTAGGGCTAGACCCAGACTTACCGCACGTTACCTAGAGCCTAGACTTCACAAACTAGCACTAGATACATGTGCACTACAATTTACGTAATTTCAAAACGGCTTCGTACATGCCCTTCAAATACTGGTCAGTGGTTCTCAATATTTTTCGAGACTATAGTTCTTATGTGATATACTGATAAAAATAATGAAGTCTTACGATGTTTAGCTAATGTAGAGGAGAGTTGACTAATTATATTTAAGTTCGGATATTTTATTGTATGTTTTTTTTGTTTGTGTAATTATATGCGATGGTAGTCAAAGGGGATAACGCAATTGATGTGGATGGAACTTAGGATTTAATTACAATGAAGTAAGTAAGCACGGTTGGCACGGTGACTGGGTCACTGGTTGCTGCGCAGCGTGTCGCGGATTAGATTCCCGCACGGAACAACTCTTTGTGTGATCCACAAATTGTCGTTCCGAGTCTGGGTGTATTTATGTTTGTAAATACACCCCCGACACAGGAGAAATTTCTAGTGTGACAAAACGTTTTTTCAAAAAAAAAACAAAAAACAATGAATTTGTGTAGTGATTTTCGTAACATTTATGATGTTTGACGGCTTTATTAAGTCAATGTCAAGTAAAGAACTCTAGTAGTTTCAAGAAGTAATGTACATATAACTTTCTTTCTGCTTTATATTAATACCAACAATTATGATCTTTAACACCCTCATCTAAGTACATCGGTTTAGTCTATTTTCATCTGACAAGTTTGAGAAACATCTTCAGACCTACCGCGTCGATCGCGCCACCTCCAGCTATTTGTAGATGGCGCGGAATTGCGCGGCATATATTGCGGTTTTGCTACGCTCATATATCAATGCATATAGAATCGACCGGCAATGTATGCAATATTGCATGTTATAGTATTGTAGCCATTATCCGTGTAGTAGGGCTGTCCTTTTTGGTTTTAAAAGTTTTCAAAGTTGGCTTGATTGTTAGTTTATAAGTCAATAATAAATATACATGTGTCCCCTCCTTTCATTCTAAAAATGAAAGTTGATATACTATCTATTTCAATATAAAACCAAATTTCTACAAGTTATATGTTTTGAAAATTTTGAAAATTAGTTATCCCCTCCCAAAGATCGACCCTAAGACATCTTTCCTACTAAGCTGAACGAAGAAGTATTAGTAAAATATTGAAAAGATGTTCTTGGGGAGAAAAAAAAACTAGTTGTTGCCATGGCAACCCTGTAAGAAAATGTCGGAGGCCCGTAAACAATGTCGTCACGACACGACGTACAAACCATTTGTTTTGATTACTCAAAATTGTTGGGTTCTGTATGTTTAGCTATGAATCATTTACATTCGGTTTACGACGGTGACGTCAGTCATAAAACGCGTTTTCATTTCAATTGAAGTTTATTTTCGTATTTACAGCAATGTTACTTAACCTGGGATGGACCATGGGGGGTCTTGAAGCTATAAATGAAGTCCCGTACATTCAAATATAAGGCTAAAAACTATGACTTCTAATATTTTTTTCGGTTTCCTTAATAGAAGTGTTATAGGTAGATATTATCAGAATTGGGACATCCGTTTACGAGAATGAGCTAAGCGTTACATTAACAGTTTGTGTATATTTGCTGCTATATATTTGTTCCCACTATTTACGCATACTTATTAATCACAAAAGCAAAAGAACAGTCTTATGTTTAGGAATGACTCAGTGGCTAACACCACACGAACCTTCAATGCACATTCCAATACAGATGGCTTGATTGGAGACAATACTTAATTAGTTACTTATTACAAAAATTAAAGGTTGTATAGCAAATTGGTTGACTAACTGTGCGTGCCCCAAAGAGTCAAAGAGCCATCAGACCACTACATATGGGGCCCACTGGAGCCACTGTCTAGGAGAAGGAGCAGCGTTATTTTTAGTCAGTAAAAGTCTGACACTCCCTCTCGTCTAGTCTCTTGTTGATTTTCTTACAAAGCAAGTTTGTGTGCTAACCAAAAATAAAAGTAATCCAACAGTCAAATAACACAGCAAACCCAACAATTCGATAATAAATATTTATTAACATTATTGACGTCCAATTCATAAATAACACAATTCAATTAGATTTATTGCAACTAACATTAAATACACTATAAATTACTTTCTATTGACATAAAAGCACTGAAACAGTAAAACTATGCGCAGGCGCAGTTTACACTGCATGAATCACGCGTACACTGGCGTGCATAAAATGGACGCTAACCAGCGGTGTCGGTGCGCCAATAAACAGACCACGACCTGCATTCAACTAAATGTCGATATAAATACATTTTACGCTTAACTCCTTAAGTTATGACTGTTCCGTTGCTTTCTGGTTGCAAATATGGCAGTTGAGCGCGAGTTCTTGGTTTTGATTCCGAGTCAGAGTTTAGTGCAAGTTTGTTTTACGCTACCGCGTTTGGCTCTCTGATTGGTTCGTCAACTTCATCATCAGGTTATAAGTGCCCACTGCTGAGCAAAGGCCTCTTCTCGTACGGTGAAAGTTAGAGCATTAATCACCACGCTTGCTCAATGCGGGTTGGCGATTTCAAACTTATAATAAGAAACTATAAGTCCAGGTTTCCTCACGATGTTTACCTTCACCGTATGTCTAATAATCATAGAAAGTACATATAACTCTGAAAAAGTCTCATTGGTACTTGCCAGGTTTCGAAACCACACCCTCACGCATGATAAGTGGGCTCCTTAACCTCCGTGCCACCACGACTTGAAGCTGGCCAATAAGAGAGTCGAGCTACATAAACGGACCTATCGCACTTATTTAAAATTGAATTTGGCACTCAGGTTAGGTACTTGATACTCAATTACTTTATTGTATTCCATAATGTATACAAATTTTTTATTAATTAATTAAGTAGCATTTTCTTGCCTGACATAAATATGCATATCGGCAATACAAAGGATGTTGTTTATCTTAAATCGCTTGATGCCGAATCAGCTGTGCATGTGGTTTTGGCGAGCGAACTTCAAAAGATTGCCCAACCAACGAAACCCACACCTTACATATGGCAAAGAGTTATGAAATCGGGTCCAGAGTAGACACTCAACTTGGAAATGCATATCATGGTTTATCATCAGCCTATAAGTGCCCACTGCTGAGCAAAGGTCTCTTCTCATACGGAGAAGGTTAAAGAGCCCGCTTCTCATATCATGGTTGTTAGTACTAAGAATCACGAAATACGTGAAGATTAATAAACCAATAAGATACGCGAAAGAACCCCTTATAAGTCTATGTCATAATTTTCGCAAAGAAACTAAGACATTTGTAGGT